AGTAGTAGTAGTAGTAGTAGTAGTAGTAGTAGTAGTAGTAGTAGAAGTAGTTGTAGTCGTAGTCGTAGTCGTAGTCGTAGTCGTAGTCGTAGTCGTAGTCGTAGTCGTAGTCGCAGTCGCAGTCGTAGTCGTAGTCGTAGTCGTAGTCGTAGTCGTAGTCGTAGTCGTAGTCGTAGTCGTAGTAGAAGAATGAGTACAATTATCTGGATAATATTCAGTTGTAGTAGAAGGAGTAGTGGCGGTGGTGGTGGTGGTGGTGGTTTTTGGAGCAGGAGGAGGAAGAGGAGGACGCCGCCAATTATTCCACCACTCGCCGCGCCAGGCTCAGCCCTGGCCTTGTGGACGGAGGGCGCGAGGCGACAGCGACGGCGACGGTGACGACGACGACGGCGACGACGACGACGGCGGCGACGACAACGACGACAACGACGACGGCGACGCTGACGACGACGCCGACGCCGACGCCGACGACAGCGTCGACACCGACGCCGACGACGAGCAACCTCGCCCGCGCCGCGCAGGCGTACGGCGGCCAGTCCTTCGAGGCCCCGCGACCGCGGCGGCGACGAGAGGCAATGGCGACGCCGCCGATGAGGCCGACGACGGCAGCGGCGGCGTTGGCGACGACGACGCCGGTGGCGGAGGCGGCGGCGGCGACGACGACGACGACGACGACGACGACAGCGGCGGCTGCGGCGACGACGACGGCGGCGGCGGCGACGACGACAACGACGGCGACGACGACAACGACGCGACGAGCGGCAACGGAGGCGGCGACGGCGGCGCCTTGGCTCGTCAGAGGGAAGGGTAGCGGGATCCGTCTCTTCTTCTGAAGCCCAGCAACGTGCATTTGGCCGGCGCTCGCGACCAGAGCGCTATGAGGCGCCATCTTTTTGCTGCAATTCGAGCTGGATCGATCTGTGAGGGTTCCAGGGCCCGAAATCGTGCGAACACGCCCGGTGTGAGAAATGGCAAGACCAGAGCCCTAGACCCCGTCTTTCTGCTGCATTTTTCAAGCTGGATCGATCCGTGAGTGTCCGAGGGTCCGAAATTGGGCGGTCGCAGATCTCAGGGTCGTGTACGCCGTGCACGGGCGACCTCTGCCGTGCATGCAGGACATGGCCGACGTCGGGCGGCGCCCACGATCCGAAGATGTTGTGGCAGTGCGGATGCGAAAGACCCCATCTGGAGCCCAGACCCCGTTCGCCTGGAACAAATCGCGACGGACTGTTTTGGGCTGTTTTCGGCCTGTGGGGGCCCTCGCTGGGCCCCAGGGTTGCCAGCCAACGACTCGCGATGAAAACGGGCCCGCGGGGAAAGGAGCGGGACTTCCATGGGCTCGTATTGCAGACGTCAGGACGCCGCATGTTTGGGAGTGGGTGGCGCGAGTGGGTGGGCCTTCTGAGAGGGAGGGGGCCATCCCGGAAGGCAGGGGCCTTCTTCATGACCCCCCCCCCTTGGTAGGGCAGCCACCTGCCTTCTCGGGAGCCCCCCCGCCTTCTCAGAAGGCCGCCCCCCTCACGCCACCCATGCGTGAGCGCCGCCAAAGGAGGATTCGGGTTCCGACGTCCAGCGCACTGAGGACCATTCTCGGCGGCGAGCCAGTGGGGGCCCTGAAAAGGGGCGGGCCTTCTCAGAGGGCTCGGAAGGCCTCCGGCCTTCTGAGAAGTTTTCTAAGCCTTCCCCGAATACACAGACCAGTTCTCCGAAGCCGCGAGGGTTTCTGAGAAGCCCCGCCGCATTCTGAGAGGGTCCCCTCCTTCTCACTTCCCCCCGTCGCTCGCTGCCGACATTCAGCACCGAACCTTTTCTCGCCTCTGGGGGCCCTCGCCGGGTCCCCAGACGGTCAACAGAATGGCTCGGGATGAGAACCGATTTTGGAATGGGCGTGCCAACACCTTCGATGTGCTTGGATTATGTCAATACGTGGGCCCCCAGATGTCTGAACGAGCGCGTTCTGTGAAAGTTCGGAAGGGGGGGGCATTCGCACCGGACCAACCCCCTCGCCCCCCAACCCCTCTCTTAAGGGAGGGGCTTCAAAATGGCTGGCCCCCCCCACCCTCTCCCCTTGAGAATTGCAGAGCGAGGGTCGAACTGGCTCCCCCGACTCTTCGTCAATGGCAGACGACGACGAAGGTGACGACGGCGACGCCGACGACGCTGACGACGACGACGACACGGACGACGACGACGCTGACGCGGACGCCGACGACGACGCCGCCGACGACGACGATGATGTCGACGACGACGACGCCGACAACGACGGTGACGGTGACGCCGACGGCGACGACGAAGGCGACGACGACAGCGACGACGGTAACGACAACGACGACGACGCTGACAATACCGACGACGACGAAGACGACGACGACGGCGGCGGTGACGGCGACGGAGTACCAGCCGATGGCATTCAGTTGCAACGGCCGCTCGAAAACAAAGGTCAGTCTAGGATAGAGTAGAGTAGGGTGGAGTAGAGCAGAGTAGAGTAGAGTAGAGTATGGTAGATGGTATAATGCATCGGGCAATGACAGAGTACAGTAGTGTAGAGTAGGGTCGAGTAGAGTAGAGTAGCGTAGAGTAGAGTAGAGTAGAGTAGAGTAGGACTAGGAAAAGCGTGGGAGTAGAGTAGCAGTAGAGCAGAGTAGAGCAGAGTAGAGTAGATTAGACTAGATTAGGGTAGAGTGGGATAGGACAGAGTAGGGTAGGGTAGAGTATAATAGAGTCGAATAGGGTAGGGTAGATGGTAGAGTAGAATCGGGGATCGCAGACTAGAGTACAACAGAGCAAAGTAGAACAGAGCAGAGTCTGTTAGAGTAGGGTAGCATAGACCGGGTGTAGAGTAGAGTAGAGTAGAGTAGAGTAAAGTAGGAGTAGAGTAGAGTGGAGAAGAGTAGAATAGGAGTAATTATAGAGTGTAGTAGAGCGGATTAATGTAGGTTAGGGTAGAGCAGAGCAGAGAATGTGATAGATCATTCAGGTAGGTGTTAGAGTAGAATCGGGTTTCATAGAGCAGAGTAGAGTGGATTAGAGTCCACCAGTCCAGTTCAGTCTACTCCTGTCCAGTCTATTTCAGTGCACTCTAGTTCACTTCATGTCAGTGTTCTGATTTATTTGGAGTCTGCGCTGGCTGATTTGTGTGTTTTATAATGCCGCCGTCGTCGTCGTCGTCGTTGTCGTCGTCGTCGTCGTCGTCGTCGTCGTCGTCGTCCTTGCAATTCAGGGGGGGCTGGCCGTCCGTCCCCCCCTCCTGGTTAGAGAGGCCAGTGTCCAGGGGTGGGCCGGGGGGGCGGTTCTCAGGGCAAGCTGCACGTTTTGGGGTTGGGCGGGCCCTCCTGGTTTCGACACGTCCAGACATTTTTCCAAGGTAGGTATCCACGAAACGCGCTCTTTCGTTACGACCTAGTTTCTGAGACCAGTTTTTCGCCATGAGTTTTTTTTTGACGGCCCAGGGCCCAGCGAGGGCCCACAGAGATAGGATATAGCAAAAACTCAACGTTGTGATTTCTCACGACGCGAGCCCGTCTGGGTAGTTCTGAACCCTCATGTGCTCGCCGCAACAAAGCGGCTCGGGATGAGGAGGCGGCTTTCGCGAACGTGTGTGTGTGTGTGTGTGTGTGTGTGCGTGCGTGCGTGCGTGCGTGCGTGCGTGCGTGCGTGCGTGCGTGCGTGCGTGAATGTGTGTGTGTGTGTGTGTGTGTGTGTGTGTGTGTGTGTGCGTGCGTGCGTGCGTGTGTGTGTGTGTGTGTGTGTGTGTGTGTGTGTGTGTGTGTGTTTCTGCGGTCTCTGAGGGCTCGGGCGCTCCTGGGCGCGCGCGCGCGATTGCTGCTATTTGATTCTCTCCGTCCTATCACTGCGCGCGGGGCTGCGACTCCAAGCGCTGTGTGTGTGTGTACTCTGTGTCACCTCCTTCCTCTCCTCATCCGCTGCCCCATCGGCTCAGGTGTTGACGCTGGAATTTTCTCCGTCCCACAGCCTTCGTCTCTATCCTTCAGATCTCGCGTTGGGTTGGCTCTCTGATCCCTCGCCTCCCTCACGCAGTCAGACGGGGCCAGGACGAGGATAGATCCATGTCAGAGCGTTCTGGAACGCTCTGGGGGCGGTCCAGAAAGCTCTGGAAGGCCGCGGCGCCCGAGACACCTTCCTGAGCCGGGGGACCTCAAAGGCTTCTCGATCCCTCCTCACCCGATTTTATCCTCGTCCTGGCTTCGTCTTGCACAGGGCGTGGGAGAATCCTCGCAGGTGCGCCGCCGGGGCGGCGGCGGCGGCTGCGGCGGCGGCCCCGGGTCGCCCTCCCCGCACGCCAGGACGGCGCCGCGGAGGACGACGACTACGAGGAGGCGCCAGTGGCCGGAGAGGCATCGGTGGCCGCGGCGGAGGCCGCGCCCGCCGTTGCTGGGCTCGAGGCTTCTGCCCCTTCAGGTTGGACACGCTATACAGTCGACCCGCATGGTAAGGATGGCCCCTGCATCCTTGTCTCCTCCCATCGTTGGCCGCTTTCGTTGGCCGCGCCCCGCTCCAAAAGCTTCGAAGTGAGAGTCCAAGGCCCTTGTATCCTTATCGCGCATCCTTATGATGTGGGCCGACTGTAGCCAGGACCCCGGGCAAGGGGAGCTTGTTAGTGATTGGGGCCCGAAGCCAATTATTAGAGATGGCCAGAGTCATTGAGCCAAGCCTGCTGTAGCTGGTGTTTCTTTGGGTGGCGGTAGTTCCGGTTAGTGGAATGGGGCGGGGGGCGGGGCGTCCCCAGGTACATATCATTAAACCAGGTCCTGCTAAACCCAGTCCCGCCAACGCCCGATCAGGGGAGTCGCGAACGACCGCCGGAAAGCTGGATGCATCGATCCCCCGCCGCCCATTCATCGCCGCTGGAGACCCGATAGCCCGCCCCGCCCATGAACGTGCGGATTTGTTGTCGGGGGCCTGTCGCCGATCCATCGGCGATGTATCGCCGATTCCAGCTCGATGCTTCCCCCCTGAGCCGTTCCCCCTAACGTTGCCCTTCAATACCACGTCGCATACACATACATACGCCTTCGGAGGTCCCCGCGGATTTATTGGGGCGGCTGGCGGCGCATCCGGCGCCGCCCGTCACGCGCTCCGCGCGTCAGGGAGGGGGGTCCAGGGCGGGTCGAAGACATCTGTCTGTGCTGTCGTAGTCGCGGCGTTTTGCTGCTAATTTCGGCGTGCAGGGGCCGCTTTCGGGCCCCAGGGCTGTCCGACGACGCGAAAAAATTGCAGCATCGTGACATGTCACGCCAGGAGCCCCATACCCAATCTTTCTGCGGCACTTTTCAAGCCAGGTCGATCAGTGAGGGTCTTGGGGTCCAGAATCATGCGAAAGCGCACGGCTCGACCAAATCGCGACGCCAGGATCTCAGGGTCATCCTGGGCTTCCTCGGGCCTGGAGCAGGTCCACTGGACGAGACAGCCCATTGCCTCCCAGATTCTAGGCCTCCCAGATGGTGTCAGAGCAGCTGGGGTCGGAGGCTCGCGCCGCATCGCCGATGCCTCGGTGATGCGGCCCGATGTGGAGCCCGATCTTCTCCGCGCTGCCGTCGTCAGTGCACCGCCGACGTTGACGATGCGTCGGCGATGCGTCGGCGATGCGGTGCGATCTTCCGACACCACCTGCTCGGACCCCACTCGGGAGGCCCAGGGTAACATCGGCCCCTGGACCTCTCTTGGTGCGCATCCCGACCAGAATTTGGGGCCGAATCCAGCCGCGGCGGCGAGAAACCCCCCGGAGGCCCGAAACGCCTCGATCCTCGAATTAGGGAACCTCGAACTTCGAATCGGCGCCAGCCCAACATACTAATACTATGTGTACGTCGCACCCCCCCAGGGGCGACGCGCGCACCGAAAAGTCTTATAGTATATGCGTCGTGGCGGGCGCTTTCTTGCCACACCGCTTGGGATCTATATGCTACAAGATGGGTATACTGTATGTTCGGGTCGGGTGCGCGCCTCCCAGGATAACATCTAGCACTAGTACGCTTCTGTGCGTCCCATCGAACCTTGATCCTCGAGGTTGGGAAACTCCGACCCCATCTGGGAGGCCTCCCCAGAGCACCGCCCTCGAGGTCGGGGCCTCGGGCACCGCAGCAGTGGGCTCGGGGTCGTCGTCGTCGTCGTCGTCGTCGTCGTCGTCGTCGTCGTCGTCGTCGTCGTCGTTGTCGTCATTTTGGCTCATTTTGGCTCAAAACGGCGCCCAGGGGGCGCTGGAGACCTCACGTCCTGGGCAGGCCGCCCTGCCTGCCCTGAGACAGTCGTTTCCTCGTGCGCAGCTCGGTCTCGAGCTGAACTTCAGTTTTTCCTCTCCCGCGCATTTTGCAGCAAAGGGATGGCCGCCGTCCCGCCCCAGGCTTCGACGCCCGCTCTGGGAGGCGCGACGGCGGCGTCAGGTGGCCTGGCCTGGGGGCGCGACCAGCGACGCCGTGTCGGGGCTGAGGCGGTGAGGCACGACATGGCGGCCGCCGATGACGCCGCCACCGACGACGGCATGGGCCTCGGCGAGGAGGGTGTGCCCGCAGGCGGCCCCCCTGTGGCTCGGGCGCCCGTGCTCCCGCCACCACCGCAGGACCCTGCGCAGCTCGGCCTGGCGAAGTACATCATCGGGTCCCTGGAGACCTCGATGGGCAGCCGCATCCAGGGCATCGAGAATATCGTGACCAGCCTGCGGAGGACCACGGAGGCGAGCGCACGGGACATAGCGTCCGTGCAAGCCAAGCTGCGAGCCCAGGAGGCCAGGTTCGACGCACTCGAGTCGAGCAGAGCCTCCCCCGCGGCGAGCACCGCCGCGCCGCGGCCAGGGCTTGGCGCCGCTCCCTCCGTGGGGGACCCTAGGGACGCCTACCTGCAACAGCAACGCGACGGTGCAGCCATGGGCACCCCGCCGCCATCGTTGTCCGCGCGGGGTAGGCCAGGGAAAAACACCAAGCATATGGTTTTCGTAGCGGGCTTCCAGGCACTTGGGACAAGGAGGAGGTCGAGCGTCACTTGACGACAAAGCTGGCCAAAACATACCCCCTGGAACGGCATGGGATCACGGAGATCTACGGGGTGGGGCGCTTCTGTGACCAGGCCAAGGTGGTCTTCGCGGACACAAGCAAGATGTGGGCCTTCATGAAGCGCTGGAAACGGGCAGGAGATCCCGTGTCTTGGCGCCAAGAATGACAAGCTATGGCACAAGGTGGATCAGGAGCCCCATGAGGTCGAAATGTCGCGCAGGCTGAGCTGTGCGGTGCGACTGCTGCGGGAGTTCGGCCTGGCCAATTCGCTTTGCACGGAGGAGAACCAAGATGCGCACCTTCGATGGTGATTGGACCAGAGGCCAGGCGGTGTACCGCAAGAACAGCGTAGAGCGCCCGATCAAGGTGCTGACGAGAGCTCGCAACACCGACCTGTTAGAGATCTGGCAGGGTCCTATGACGAGCGCGCTGCTTGAACAGGAGCTGAGGGACACGAGGCTTCAGGACAAGCTGGGCGAGATCAACGACCCACCGAGAGCCCAGTGATACCGCGTGCGGGGACGACGCTTCGTTAAGGACATCGGGAATCTCACAGTTCTGGGGTGGAATGCGAGAGGTGTCCTTGCTCGGCGGCGTCGGCGTGTCCTCGACGCGCTTGCGAGTGAATTCGTTCCACAACGTGTCCTTCTTCAAGAATGGTGCGTCGCTGGTGGCGCTGAGCAGACCTGCGACGGCTACGTCGTACATGTGTCGCCTCCAGCGGGGGTTTGGCAAAGGTTTGCGATGGCAGTCCACGAATCTCTTGGGCCCTCCGTCGTGGGACAGCCTCAGAGTCACGGTCGCTCCATGTACCTGGGCTTGCAGTTGGATGTCTGGGGCCGCAATCGTGTGATCACGAGCCATTTTTTTCGCACATAGTACGATGTGAATGCGCAGAGACAGTCGAGCAGCTACGGGGGTGCTTGATTTCAATGCCAAGTGATTGCCATGCCATTATCCGTATCGACGCCCGGGGCGGCCTTGGGAGTTCGGACGGAGATTCAGTCGGGCCCTTCTCGGTTTCGGAGCAGACATGGCGAGGTGAAAAGTTGCATGATCTGATGGCGGAGTTGGATTTGATTGCTGCTATCACTTTCTCTCGAGGCGAGCGTGGCCAGTGCACGTGCTTGTTCGACAGCCGTAAGGAACCCAGACAGATCGACTTCCTGCTCGTCCACAGGGGCTGGCCTCGCAAGGTGGGCTGCCAGGCCTGCTTCAGCGACGCCACCGAGAGCGATCGCCTGCCCATGCTGCTACGCTGTCAGGCAGGGCGCCCTATCCCTGCGATCGAGTGCGCTGGAGTTCGCCCTGGAGGATGAGATGGAACGCCCGCCTCGCAAGCCCGTCTCCTGGCAGCTGGGCGACCCGAGAGAGATCGACGCCAGGATCTGCGCGGCCCCCCAGATCAGCTACACGCCGCCCGCCGGGCAGATGTGCACCGAGGGCGACTTCGCGAACGCCATGGGGATCTTCGCGGACGGGTCCGCACGCCGTGACCGGGGGAGACACGGGCGCCACCGATGCAAGGCCGCTGGCTGGGGCTTCGCGCTCTACCGCGTCGCCGAGCCCAACGATCAGGACATGCCGCTGCTGGAGGCTTGCGGTCAGGTAAGCGCAGTGCCGACCGATGCGCACTTTGTGGGCGCCAGTTGCATCTCTTCCAACTCTGGCGAGCTCTCCGCCATTGTGGAAATGCTGCCGTGGCTCCTGGGGCAGCGCAAATCGGTGGAGCCGTGGGTGCGCGACCGCGCTCGCATCCTGGTGGCCGCGGACTCGACGTATGCCCGAAATCTGCAGCAGGAGGTCTTCCAGCCGGAGCAGAATTTCGAGCTTGCCGCGCTGGCGGTCCACCTCTGGAATCAGTGCCAGCCCCACTTCGACCTGATCATCCGATGGGTCAAGAGCCGCAATTGGAAAGTCGGCAATGAGACAGCCGACCGCCTGGCGAAGACGGGCAGCGACGGACGCCTCGCACGCTTGCACTGGGGGCGCCCCTGCAAGCAGCCCGACCGTGACGCCGCGGAGCACCGCCGCCTGTGCGAAGTCCATGCCGAGGCCTACCGCCGCGAGCGGAAGCGCCGACTGGACACGCTGCGCCGCGAGGGCGCTGGCGCCGAGCAACGGGCCCGCCTCCAGCCGACGCCCGCAGACGCCTGCCGCGATCGCGGGGGCATCGTGCCGCTGGGGGCCCTGGCGACGGCGATCTGCAGCGTCGCGGCGGCCGGTGGCCACGTCCCGCGCCGAGGGCGGTGGAGGCTCCCGCCTGGGGGCCCGCAGCTGCTGCAGCTCCAGGCCCTGGAGAGGATGCGCGCCCGAGAGGATGACCCTCGCGTGCGCCGCCTGCTCGGCCCGCCCGTCTGCAAACTGAAGCGGGCCATGCGGGGGCGGTGCGCAGCCGCCCACCTCGAGCGCCTCTGCGACCGCGGGGGGGCGGACGAGGCCTTCAAGAGCGGGCGGGGCACCGCCGACGGCGGCGCGGCGACCGCGGGGGCAGCCGGGCGCGCGGAGGTCCACAGATTCTACGCCAGTCTGAATCGAGACGAACGCAGCTCGATCCCTCGATCTACGAATCCTTCGTTTCCCCGTTTCCTCGATCCCTTGATTCCTCGATGTCGCCCGAGATCCCTCGCTATCCCTCGCTATCCCTCGCTATCCCTCGATCCCTTGATACCCAGCGATCCGTCGATATCTCTCGATCCCTTGATATCCATCGATCCCTCGGTATCCCTCGATCTCCCTCGGTATCCTTCGATATCCCTCGATATCCCTCGGTATCCCTCGATCCCTTGATATTCCTCGATCCCTCGATCTCCCTCGGTCTCCCTCCACATCCCTCGTTATCCCTCGATGCCCCTCGATATCCCTCGATCCCTTGATATCCCTCGATTCCTCGATATCCCTCGATATTCCTCGATGACCCTCGATGACCCTCGATATCCCTCGATATCCCTCGATCCCTTGATGTCCCTCGATCCCTCGATCTCCTTCGGTATCCCTCGATCTCCCTCGATATCTCTCGATATGAAAGAGCGCGTTCTATGGTCGCTTGGAGGGGGGGGGGTTGGAACCCGACGCGCCCTCCCTCTCTCCCGTGACGGAGGGGGTGGTGTTCGAACCCCCCTCCCTTCCCCCCCCCCCCTCTCGTGACGGACGGGGGGGGGGTTCGAGCCCTTCCCCCCTGCTTCCCCTCTCCTCGGGCCAGCGCTGCGCTTGGGTCGGCGGCGGCTGGCGACGGCGGCGGGGATGACGATTTCCATTTCTTGGCCGGCGCCGGCGCCTGCGGCGGCGGGCGGCGGTGGCGGGGAGCGTCGACGAGGACGACGGTGGTGGTGGTGGTGGTGGCGGCGGTGGTGGTGGTTGTGGTGGTGGTGGTGTGGTGGTTTGTTGTGGTGGTGGTGGTGGTTGTGGTGGTGGGTGGTGGTGGTGGTGGTTTGGTGGTGGTGTGGTGGTGGTTTTGGTGGTGGTGGTGGTGGTGGGTTGTGGTGGTGGTGGTGGTTTGGTGGTGGTGTGGTGTTTGTGGTGGTGGTGGTGGGTTGTGGTTGTGGCGGTGGTTTGTGGAAGGGGTGCTTGTGGTGGTGGTGGTGGCGGTGGTGGTGGTGGTGCGGTGGTTTGTGGTGGTGGTGGTGGGTTGTGCTGCTGGTTGTGGTGGTTGTGGCGGTGGTGGTGGTGGTGGTACTGGTGTGGTAGATTGTGGTGGTGGTGGTGGTAGTGGTGGATGGTTTTTGTGGTGGTGGTGGTGGTGGTGATGGTGAGTTGTGGTGGTGGTGGTTGTTGTGGTGGTGGTGGTGGTTGTGGGTATTGGTGGTCGCAGTGGTTTGTGGACGTTTGTTGTGGTGGTGGTGGTGGCGGTGGTGGTGGTGGCGGTGGGGGTGTGGTGGTTTGTGGTGGTGGCGGTGGGTTGTGCTGCTGGTAGCGGTGGTGGTTGTGGCGGTGGTGGTGGTGGTCTGGTAGATTGTGGTGGTGGTGGTGGTGGTGGATTTTTGTGGTGGTGGTGGTGATGGTGAGTTGTGGTGGTGGTTGTGGTGGTGGTGGTTGTGGTGATTGTGGTTGTGGTGGTGGTGGCTGTGGTGGTCGTGGTGGTGGTTGTGTGGTGCTGTTGGTGGTGGTGGTGGTGGTGGGTTGAGGCGGTGGTGGTGGTGGTGTTGGTAGTGGCGATGGTGGTAGTGGTGGTAATCGTCGCTGCGTCCCCGCCGTCGCCGGCGCCAGCGCCGGCGCTGCTGGCCGCCTCCAGCGCCGGCGCCGAGGGGGGGGGTCTGAAACCTCCCCCCCCCATCCTGGGCTGCCTCTGGTGATCGTCTCTGCGTCCCCGCCGTGGGCGCTGCTGGCGGCCGCCAGCGCCGCCGCCGGCGCCAAGGGGGGGGGCGGTTTCAACCCCCGACCCCCCTTGAGAGGGGTGTTCGGGAGGGGGGGGGTTTGGGGGGGTTGATCGACGGCGCCGAGTGTTGGGGGGGGGGGCCCCCCCAGTTTGAAACGCGCCGCCGAATGTTCCCAGGGCAAGCGCCCGTGAAACGAGTTCTCTCCTCGATATCCCTCGATATCGTTCGATATCCGTCGGTGTCCCTCGATATCCCTCGATATCCCTCGATCCTTCGATCTCTTTCGTTTCCTCGATCCTTCGATATCCTCGATTCCTCGGTATCCCTCGATCCCTCGAAATCCCGCGATCCTCGATGCCTCGATCCTCGATCCCCCGATCTCCCTGGGCATCCCTCGATCCTTTTATACATCGATATCCCTCGATTCCTCGATCTCTCGATATCCCTCGGTCCCTTGATCCCTCGATCCCTCGATCCCTCGATCTACGATTCCCCTGGTTTCCTCGTTTCCTCGATCCGTCGATCCCTCGATATCGCCCGATATCCCTCGCTATCCCTCGATCTCTCGATATCCCTCGATCCCTCGATCCTTCGGTATCCCTCGATCTTTCTCGCTCCCTCGACATCCCTCGCTCCCCCTCGTTGCCCTGATCCTTCGATCCCGCGATATTTTTCGATTCCTCGATATCCCTCGATCTCTCGAAATGCCGTTATCCTCGATCCTTCGATCTCTCGATCGTCGGTATCCCTCGATTGTTCGATCCCTCGATCCCTCGATATTCCTCGATCCTTCGATCCCGAGATATTTTTCGATCCTTCGAGATCTTTTGACCAATGGATATTGGTCGATATCCCTCGATATCCCTCGATCTCTTTCGATCCCTCGATGTCCTTCGATGACCCTCGATTCCTCGATATCCCTCGATCCCTCGATATCCATCGATATCTCTCGATCCTCTGATATCCCTCTATCACCCGATGTCCCTCGACATCCCTCGATCCCTAGATATCCCTCGATCCCTCGATATCCCTCGACCCCTCGATATCCCTCGACATCTGTCGATCCCTCGATCCCTAGATCCCTCGATAACCCCTGATCCCTCGATCCCTCGATTGGATCCCTCGAGATCTTTCGATCCGCGCAGCTCGGTCAGATGCGGCCCGTCGGCCACGCACGCGCGCGAGGTGGCCTTCGCCGCGGTGCGCTCGCTGGCGTTGGCCCCTCTCGCAGGGATCCCGCGCCGCCGCAGCCGGGGAGGGTTCGACCCCGTCTCCTGAGGCGTCGTCAATCCCCGGCCCAGGAATGGCACTACGAGACGTCCTGGCTCGCCTGTAGGCCCACCAAAGAATGTTCTAAGAACCTTTTGTGATTTGCGCGAAATGTTCTTTGAACATTTCTGGCTGATTCTGTTGTGTTTTAACACGTCGGTTTATGTTCTAAGAACATTGCTTTCGTTCTTGGAACATTCCTGGGTTCTAAGAGCATGTAGGCCTGGGGAACTGCCGGGACGGTCGGTCCTTGCTCACGGCACGGTGCATAATGTTTCGGCCGTCAGAATCGACAAACTAATTACCATACCGCGTTGGAGCGGAACCTAAAGGGAGTCTGCACATGGTGCGGTGCATAAGCCCCGTTCTCGTATCGTCAGCTCGAGCGCTCCCCCTCAAAAAGATTGTTTTCTGGTCGGTCGTTACACCGGGCGCACCGGGGGGCGGGGTGGTTTCGAGTCTCGAGGGCTTCGAGGTCTGAGATTTTCGGGCGCTTTCGTTAGTTTTCTGCGGTTTCCAAGGTTCGGGATGCTTTCCAGTAGCTGCGCCTCGTCGAGAGCGTTCTGGGGTGTGCCCAGATCGTCCCGATGGCCCGAAACCCATCGGACGGGGATGGTATTGATGTTGTATCTTGTGGAAACGAAAATTCACCCCCCAAACAGTGTAGTGATCACACCGCGTGGTGAGTCAGTGGGGATTCGGTGTCACCGCAATGTCTTGGGATTGTGGTCGTTCTCCGAGGATGTCTTGGGCGACCGGAGCCTCCAAGGTCCCAAGACCGTGCGGTGACGGACCGCGCGGTGAGGTCTCTTGGGATTTCGAGGTCACCGCGCGGTCCGTCACCACACGGTCGTGGGACCCCGAACCATGTAAACCGACAGACAGCACATGGCATTAATATAACATTTTCGGGGAGGTCCTCGCGGATTATTGGATCAGGCCTCCATGATTTCGTTTTCTCCTCAAAAGGGGTTGCCAGTAGGAGTTTTAGCTCCATCCCTAGAGTACTGGTCCATTGTCCTTTGATTTTGTGTTAAACTATGACAGTGGCTTCCTATGTCCCTGCAACGGCTTCCACTGCCATTTCAATGGTTTCCTGTTGCTAGTCCAACGGCGTCCCAACAATCGTCCCAAAGTGGTCAAACTCAGAAGAAGAGCATCATATAGCATGATACAGTACAATATAGTAGTAGTAACGTGGAGAACAGAGTAGAGTAGAGTAGAGCAGAGCAGTGCAGAGTTGAGCAGAGTAGAGCATAATAGAGTAGAGTCGAGTCGAGGAGAGTATATTCGAGTAAAGTAGAGTAGGAGTAGAGTAGAGTAGGAGTAGAGTACCCGTAGGGGTGCGGACAGTTCCCACGAAAGGGGTCAGACACGCCCGCGGCCAGATCACCTGCAGGCCCTCCACGCTCCAGCCCCTAGGGCGAGCTGGGTGCGACAGCGGGCCGAGCACGCGCCAATTCTCTCGAGGACTCTCTTCATGCGGAAGAGGCTCCACGAGTGGGATAGGCCCTCCATGAAGCACAGGACACCGACGGCGGGCTCCACGTCGGACCTTCGTTTCCGACCGCTACGCCTGTGCCCCCGCGAGGCCTTGTGCGAGGCCTGGCGCGAGGCATGGTGCCGCAGCCCGCGGCGGGGTGGGAGGCGACCCCAGGCCCGAGCTCGGCCAACTCGAGCTTGCGCCAGGTGGCCGCGCCCTCGGGCACCGGCACTGGCGTAGCTCGTCGACGGACTCGTCGTTGAGTTCGGCGGCGATCTCCTTGGGCAGCGCGAGCTTTTCCCCAGCCGCGGCCCCCTTCGCAGCAGCGCCGCAGTCGCCCCCCGCAGCCTCCGCAGCCTCCGCAGCTGGCAGGGCGGGGCCCTTGCCATCTGCTCCGGGCGCCGCGGGCGTCGCGTCGGCGAAGGCGTCGCCGACCAGGTCGTCGGATGCCACATCCATGTCGAGGGCAGCGGGCGCTGCCGCGCCAGCAGCACGCTGCGCCGCACTGCGCAGGCGGTGGCGCCGACGCCGCGCGGCTCCCGCCACGGGGTCAGCCGCCGCGCCGCCACCACTGGCCAGGACTCGAGTAGGGGATCGACTACAGAATTGACTTACTCCAAACTTGATTGTCAGTCGAATCTACGAAAAATGCGAAGATGGTTCGGTAGACCTACCAAGATGCTACGTACTTGTTCGCAGAGTCGACGGGGAGATCAATTTGGGGGTAAATCTATTCTGCAGTCGATCCCCTACTCGAAGGACGGGGTTCAACTCCAGGTTCAGGAGGAGCGGCCGTGGCACCACCCTCGGCCATATGCGAGGGAGCCTCGGCCAGCTTGGACAGCGTGGCCGAGAATGCGGACCTCGCGCCACGGCTGCGACGGTGCGCCTCGGCGCTCCAGCAAGCACTGCGCCTCAGACGGCCGCCTCCACGAGAGTAGGAATGGAGTAGAGCAGGGTAAGGTAGGGCAGGTCTAGAGTAGGGTAGGGCAGGGTAGGGTAGAGTCAAGACATCCCCTAGATAGCAAGTCGTCTATCTCACTGCCGCCCCGAGGCCTGGAAGTGGGGAGCCGTCGGAGGTCTGGGGGTCGATCCAGGCCGCCCCAGATACCAGTCGATTTTAGGCGCCTTCCTACTTCAAGAACGTCGGACGCTTGTCCCTTTTCCTGCTCCTCTGGGGGTGGGCGGACACCCACTTTCATTTTCAACGCCTTCCTACTTCATGTGTCGACTCACTTATTCCGACCGACAGGTACTCTAGGTCGCCCAGATGGGGTCAGAGTTGGTGGGTCGGAGGCTCGCGCCGCAGCGCCGATGCATCGGCGATTTGGCTCGACGTGGAGCCAGATTTTTTGCACGCCAGCGTCGCGAATGCGTCGCCGATGCATCGGCGTTGCGTCGCCGATGCATCTGCGATGCGGCGCGATCGTCCTGCCTCACCTGCTCGGACCCCATTAGGTCGTCCTCCGCTTGCGGGGAGGAGGTGGAGGGCGCCGGTCTCAGACCTCCAGCAATCAGATTTTCAATCGCGGCGTCTTTATTGATTGACTTTTGATTTTACAGGGGCCGCTCTCGGGACCCTGGATGATCACAAGTTGTTCTGGCACGTAAAACTAAACCCAGGGCAGCGATTGGGCGCCCTGGGCCTCAGATCGGGAGGTGGAGGAGGTTGTTTTGGGCGTTTTGTTTTTGTTCCCAGCCCTTCATTATTGGGTTCTCGTTTTGAGTAGAGCACTGTGGTCGCGTCCTTCCTTCCTTCCCGCCTCCCTCCTCTCTCTATCTCTCTTTTGTCTCCTCTTGTCTCGTACCTCTCTCGTGCTTGCCTCCAACCTCGCCAGCCCTGGTGGGCTGCGATCTGCGAAACTGTCGCCACTGTCGAGGGCTGTTGGGGGGTTCAGCGGAGTGACGTCTGACGCAGATCAGAGCGGGACCTCGGCGTCGCTAGGGAGCTGCGGTTTGCGAAACTGTCGTTGCCGTCGTGGGCTGCTGGGGGTTCAGCGGAGTTACGTTCTACGCAGATCAGAGCGGGACCTTGCCGTCGCTGGGGGCTTGCGACTTGCGAAACTGTCGTCACGGTCGACGAAGTGCGAAACCGAGGCCACTGTCGAGGGCTGCTGGGGGGTCCAGCGGAGTGACGTCCGACGCAGATCAGAGCGGGACCTCGGCGTCACTGGGGGGCTGTGAACTGCGGAACAGTCGACGCTTTCGGGTGCTGCTGTGGGGGGGCGTCCAGCGGAGTGACGTCTTACGCAGATCAGAGGGGGACCCTGCCGTCGCTGGGGGGCTGCGAGCTGCGAAACTGTCTCCGCTATCGAGGGCTGCTGGGTCTGGCCGGCCAGCACATACACGCCATACGCGGATTCAGATTCGATTTTGCCATCCCTGGGGGACTGCGATCTGCGAAACTGTCGCCACATTCGAGGGCTGCTGCGGGGGGGGCAGCACAGTGACGCCATACGCGGATTCATATTCGACCTTGCCATCTCTGGGCGGCTGCGGTCTGCGAAACTGCTGCCACTTTCGAGGGCTGCTGGGGGGGGCAGCACAGTGACGCCATACGCAGATTCAGACTCCCCCTCGCCATCCCTGGGGGACTGCGATCTGCGAAACTGTTGCCACATTCGAGGGCTGCTGCGGGGGGGGCAGCACAGTGACGCCATACGCGGATTCATAACTTATTCGACCTTGCCATCCCTGGGCTGCTGCGGTCTGCGAAACTGCTGCCGCTTTCGAGGGCTGCTGGGGGGGGGCAGAACAGTGGCGTCTTACGCGGATTCAGATTCGACCTCGCCATCCCTGGTGGCCCGCGGTCTGCGAAACCGCTGCCACTTCCGAGGGCTGCTGGGGGGTCCAGCGGAGTGACGTCCTACACGGATTCAGATTCGACCGCGCCATCCCTGGGGGGGCTCGGTCTGCAAAAAAAAGTGTCGCCGCTTTTGAAGGCTGCTGGGTGTCCAGTGGGGTGACTCCATACGCGGGTTCAGAGCAGGACCTCGCCGTCGCTAGGGGCTTGCGAATTGCGAAAGCGTCGCCACTTTTGAGGGCTGCGGGGGGTCCAACATAGTGGCGTGCTGCGCAGAGTTAGATTAGATCTCGCGTCGCGCTCGCGCGCCTTTACATCCCACGCTGGAAATGTTGGGAAGAGTCCCAGTAGCTGGCAGAACAGCTTGGCCTCGCGCAGTTCTTGCACTGACTATAACTGATTGGTGGCGTGCTTCGAAACATAATCTCTGGCCTTCATCTGCCTTTCTCTTGTCGTCCGATTCTTCCTTCCTTTGCTGCTGCCCTGCTGATTTTTCAAGTTCATCTTCCGCCTTCGAGCCATGGGAAGAAATACCCATCTCCATCAAACCTTTGTCCATCGATCGGTCACCCGTGAACCGCGCAGCTCGCGAGCCTCCCTTGTAACGTTCGCAAAACATTTATTCGTTGCCACGCTCTCACCCCTTACACAGTGCACCCGGCTATTTGGGCAGCCCG